GGGGAGACCCCGAGAAGATCCCAAAAGAGACAGGGAGAGGAGACCCCAATGGGGATGGGGGGGGACCCCTATGGGGACATGGGGAGACCCCAAAGGGGACAGGGAGGGGACCCGATGGGGGCCTGCAGGAGACCCCGAGAAGATCCCAAAAGAGACAGGGAGGAGGAGACCCCAATGGGGATGGGGGGAGACCCCAAAGGGGATGGGGGGGACCCCTATGGGGACCTGCAGGAGACCCCAAACGGGATGGGGAGACCCCAAAGGGGCGGGGGGGACCCTAAAGGGGGCGGGGAGGAGGAGACCCCAAAGGGAACAGGGGGGAGACCCCTATGGGGACCTGCAGGAGACCCCGAGGAGACCCCAACAATGGAGACCCTGAGGAGACCCCAAAAGATACTGGGAAGAGGAGACCCCAATGGGGATGGGGGGAGACCCCTATGGGGACCTGCAGGAGACCCCAAACGGGATGGGGGCAGGAGACCCCAAAGGGGACCTGCAGGAGAGCCCGAGGAGACCCCAAAAAAGACGGGGAGGAGGAGACCCCTATGGGGACCTGCAGGAGACCCCAGTGAGGATGGGGGGAGGAGACCCCAATGGGGATGGGGGCAGACCCCAAAGGGGGTGGGGGGAGACCCCAAGGAGACCCCAATGGGGATGGAGGAGAGGAGACCCTTATGGGGATGGGTGGGGAGACCCCTATGGAGATGGGGGAAGGAGACCCCAAAGGGGATGGGGGGGAGGAGACCCCAATAGAGGTGCAGAGGAGGCCCCAGTGGGGATGGGGGCTGGAGACCCCAAAAGTGACGGGGAGGAGTAGACCCCAACGGGGACGGGGGGAGGAGACCCTTATGGGGATGGGGGGCAGACCCCAAAGGGGATGCGGGGTGGAGACCCCTATGGGGATGGGGGGGAGACCCTAATAGAGACCCAGAGGAGACCCCAATGGGGACGGGGAGAAGACCCCAATAAAGACCTGGAGAAAACCCCAAAGGAGACCCCAGTAGGGACCAGGAGGAGCCCCCGGTGCCTCCCAGTTCCCCCCCCCCGAGGGCCTCAGAGCCGCTGTGGGGCGGACGGGAAAAGGGAAGGAAGTGGGGGGGGCACAGCGGGGTGCTGCTATGGGGGAAGTTGTGGGGGTGGCGCTGTAGGGCTGAACCGGGGGGCTGGCACTTGTGGGGCTGATGTTGTAGGGCTGGCGCTATGGGGCTGGCCCTATGGGGCTGATACTGTAGGGCTGGCACTATGGGGCTGGTACTTGTGGGGCTGGTACTGTAGGGCTGGCGCTATGGGGCACTATGGGGCACTATGGGGCTGGTACTTGTGGGGCTGGCACTTGTGGGGCTGGCACCACAGAGTTCCCCCCTCCCCAAACACGCAGACCCCCAAAAGGAACCGCGTCCCCCCCCAGCCCCAAAACCCCACAGCGCGACCTCTGCAGCCTGAGGCCCCAAACAGGTCCTATACACCCCAAACAGACCCTACACACCCCACAGCAGTTCCTGTGTGCCCCAAAGCAGGTCCTGTACACCCCAAACAGACCCTATACACCCCACAGCAGGTCCTATAAACCCCACAGCAGGCCCTGTGTGCCCCATAGCAGTCCCTATATACCCCAAACAGAACCTCTGCACCACACAGCATGCCCTATGTGCCCTATAGCATGTCCTATGCGCCCCATAGCCGGCCATACACACCCCAATCAGACCCTACAGGCCCCACAGCAGACCCTACAAGCCCTACAGCAGACCCTACAAGCCCTACAGCAGACCCTACAGGCCCCATAGCAGACCCTAGAAGCCCCACAGCAGGCCCCACAGACCCCACAGCAGGCCCCACAGGCCCCACAGCAAACCCTATAGGCCCTATAGGCCCCACAGCAGGCCCTACAAACCCCACAGCAGACCCTACAGGCCCCACAGCAAACCCTATAAGCCCCACAGCAGGCCCTACAGACCCTACAGGCCCCACAGCAGGCCCTATAGGCCCCATAGCAGACCCTACAGGCCCCACTGCAGACCCTTTAAGCCCCACAGCAGACCCTACAGGCCCCACAGCAGACCCTACAAACCCCATAGTAGACCCTTTAAGTCCCACAGCAGACCCTACAGGCCCCATAGGCCCCACAGCAGGCCCTACAAACCCCACAGCAGACCCTTTAAGCCCCATAGCAGACCCTACAGGCCCCACAGCAGACCCTACAGGCCCCATAGCAGACCCTATAGGCCCCACAGCAGACCCTACAGGCCCTACAAACCCCACAGCAGACCCTACAGGCCCCATAGGCCCCACAGCAGGCCCTGCCCGCCCCACATCCGCCCCCATTCACTCACAGCCAACCCCACGGCGCCCCATTCCCTCCCTCCCGACCCAGCGGGGCTCCGTGCCCCCCGTTGTGCCCCGCTCTCCCCCAGGACCCCCGCCGGCCCCGTTCCGACCCCCCGCCCCGAACCCCGCGCCGTTACCTGGGCCGGGCCGGGCGCTGCGCTGTGCGCTACGGCGCTGCCGGTTGGGCTCCGCGCCGCCACAGCGCCGCCGTGCGGCCGGGAGGA